CTTTTGCAGGATGCTCTAGAAGCTTTGGACACACATGAAATTGCTTCAAGAGATATTGACTTTTATGGGGCCTGAGGATCCTATGTCAAGGTGGACTCCATACTCCGTCGTGTGAATCTCAAGTCTTCACACCCAAGCTGTGGCTTTGAATGCCAAAGACTAGACCTTCTAATGCAATCAGGATTTCTTCCACATAAGGGAAATGTCTGATGCATCCCTGCTAGCATGTTGTATTTCCTATCCTTTATTTTTCTAAGTAAAATTCAATGCCAAGTGTGGTCTATGGTAGTGTGTGAGTTTGATTGTTTGGTGGAGCCTAGGAAGACCTCTGGCATATAATGCAATTAGTTTACAGTAAACACTTAACCAACATTATTTTCATTTTGGTATTATCGTTGTGATTATATGCTTCCTAACTAAAGTGCCAGTTCTATTATACTGTTTCACACTGACCCTTATTAAATCTGAGACTGGAGAATTGGCCAGTAAGGGGACAAGAGAGGGCATTCTAAGACATATGTGCAAAGCAAAGCTTCAAGCATCCTTGTAACTATGAGAAGAAGGTAATAAATTGACTGAAAGTTTAGCATTTCCAATTATCTAATCTAAAATTATGCCAAGGTGTCATTGAATCAGTATGGTTTACACTAATCTTCTTTTAAATGATAAGAACATATTGTGACTCTTTGTTAGAAGATCAAACATATTGCCCTCCTCTTAGCCATTTTGGCCTGAGTTTCCTTGCCTGATACTTCTAGATAATTGCCTACATATTAAAAAGAGGAAGAGTTAGAGAATGTCAACTGATACAAATGCCATTAGTGTGACTCTTGTCATGTCACATTCTTTACCAGGGGCAGATGATATCCTTTTTGATTTGTTTTTCCTCTAGTGTGAGATATTCCCACAATGCATTAACTGATGTAGATATTTTTTTTTTGCTACTTTTTTTCTATATATTCTACTTTGTTCTTTCAATGATGCTTTGTTAAAATCATATGTGTTTTGCAAATGGTTCTGATATACTAAACCAAAAAAAAAAAAAATCAAATCCATTGCCGTCAAGTCATAGCAACCTTATAAGACAGAGTAGAAGAGCCCCATAGGGTTTTCAAGGCTGTAAATCTTTGCAGATGCAAACTGCCACATCTTTCTCCCGCAGAGCAGCTGGTGGGTTCAGACTGGCAACATTTTGGTTAGCAGCCAAGCAATTAACCACTATGCAATCAAAGAAAATGTTAGCCAGACAGACATTT